TACTCCGCCCTCTCTTATTGCACCTCAAAAAATTGTAGTGGATTCATACAATGGGTAAGTGTTAGCCTTGTAAAAGATAAATTCTCCTCCATTGGCAATAACCTTTGGGAAACTTGCTTGTTAATGAAACCTTGTAGTACCAGATGAGCCAATCTAAGCATCTCATTATAGGTAAATTTAATTAAATCCAGGCAAAGTTTTCATTCTCTAGATCCAGGAGAAACTTTTTTTCTTTACTTGATCAATTCCTCCTCTACCTAAGTAGTTATTCCTCTCTCTTTCACAGCCAAATATGGGAATATGAGAAAGACCTCTTGTCGGGGACTCAGAGATCTGGGTTGCAGTCCTGGATTTGTCACTTCTTTATGGCTGGACTCAGGGTCTCAACATTCCCTGTGAGAAGCTCTTTCACAGCACCTATTCCTTTTGCTGAGCAATTCAGCTCAAGTTCATCTTTCTCGTCTGGTTCTCATATCTATCAAGAAGGTGATTTAACAAGAGAGCTGCTAGCATCCACCTTAGGAGACAGAAATTGATGGTTAATAAAAAGTAAACATTTTCAGCTGCAAATAACTTTTTTCTCCTGCTACAAATAAAATGGACACATTTTAGCTCAGTTGTGCAGTTAAATTGCAGTAGTACCTTGAGCAAGTAACTTCATGTCTGTGACCATTGGAATATCAATACACACAGTGAAGGTAATAATACTTACCCAGTTGAGTTATTTTGAGGATGAAATAAGGTATTTGCCTGGGAATGTATTTTGTGATCTCCAAATGGACATGAATGTGAAGGATAAAAAAATAGAACATTATATCCAGGTTATTATTTCTCAAATATGATCAGATAGCAAGTTAATAACTAATAAGCAAGGCCAATGTTTGTAAGATTAAACTTTTACACTTCCCATAGGAGTAAAGTTGCTTCATTTTGAATGAAAAAAAAATATAGTCCATAACATTTTGTTTTTCACAAATTGAACTTCTTGAAAAAAAGATTGCTCATTACCGATTTAAAAAATCAAGCTTTTCTATTCATACTCATTCACAATTTACTAGAGATTTATTTTAACATATTGGTTTTGAATGAATTACTGAGTTACAGAAAATTTCAGAAAACCTCGTTATATAGGGCAAGACCTTTGGACTATCTGAATCTTATTTTCCTCATTTGTAAAGGCCTAAGATCCTGTGAAATGTAACCTTGTTGGCAATTAAACAAAACGACTCATTCTGAGGCTAATGAACATCACCCACTAAATCAGTCATTCACGTGCACCTCAGTGAGGTCTTCAGTGGCTCTTTTTCACCATTAGGATAAAATCGATTTGTGCTTAGATTATGTGTCTAGAAATGATAATGATAATTAGTATTTACATTTAACGTGTGTTTCTAAGTGTGTTACTTCTGATAATTCATCTAGTTCTTGTTTAGCCCTAAGAGGTAGGTACTTTTTATTGTCCCAGTTTTATAGATAAGGGAAGTGAAGCACAGATTGATTTAGTAATTGGCCAAGATCACACAGCTATTTTGTGATGGAACAAGTATTGGACTTCTTGTTCCAGGGCCTGACTTTTAATCATCTCCCTATACCATGGTAGGAGAGTTTCTGTAAAAATCAGCATGTAACTTTTAGCAACAGTTTGTATACAGTGTTTCTAAAGTACATCCGATGTGTGAAACAGTTTATTCTTCTGGTATTATAAATATTTTCTTTTATGCTGTTGTTTTTGCACCAGTGAATTATCCCCTTACTGAGTTTGTACTTATTATAAACCTCTGTTCTTCTTCCCTCTGTGGTCCCCTTCTTCCCCCACCCCGCCTTCTCCTCTCCTCTCTGTCCTCCTCCCACACCCCACGTCTCCTCACCTTCTTTCTCTTTTCTCTTTCAAAGTGGTGATTGGGTTAAAGACCTGCACTCCTCCCTGCTTCAGTACAATAATTGTAATCTTTACGCCAGATATTTTCTTTTTATCTACTCTGAACTTTCTCCAAATTCTATTAACAATTTTCAATTTGGGAAACAAAAACAGAAAGTTAAGAGCCATGCTTTGTCTGCTTTTTGCCTGCTGCAACCCTCCCTTAAGAAAAAGAACATAGCTTCACATTTCAAAATGGAGCTTAAATCTCAGGATATTATTCTAGCAGAGGAGTCTTGAGCATATCGATAAAGATTTGGAACAGTCATCAAGAGAAATAAGAGTGGAACTGCACCACATGTACTCACCGTCAAATTGGTATTAACTGATCCACACTTAAGGGCACATATAGTAATAACATTCATCGGGTGTCAGGCAGGTGGAAGGGGGGAGGTGGGGATGGGTATATACACATCTAATGGGTGTGGTGCACACCATCTGGGGGATGGACACGCTTGAAGCCCTGACTTGGGTGGGGCAAAGGCAATATACATAACCTAAACATTTGTACCCCCGATATATGCTGAAATAAAAAAAAAATAGAGCGGATGGATTTTGAACTTAAAAAATTTCAGACTTTGGACCATTAACTCACTAGGCCAAGAAAAACTGATGTTAAACTTAAGTGCCTTTGGACTTTAATTTGCAAAAGGTTTTACTCATAAGGGCAAAATAATATGATTTAGACTTTAATATATTTGGAATGTAATGCCTCTAAATTTTGATATGTTAATGGGAGGGTGTTTATACTAAAATCTGGGTGATTTCTGCAAAAAAAAAAAAAAAAAGTGGACCTGAATAAAGACAAGGAAAATGATTCGACAGTTGTGATGAGAGATTGGAATGCTGCCAATCCTTGGGGTTGTGATAAGAATTTTCCAAGCAAAAGTATACTTCTGTCAGCACCTGTCTCCATGATCACAAATTCTAAATTAGCTGCATTTAAATTAATGGTTTGTTGTTTTAGTTAAAATTTTATTTACAGATTTGATTATCAATGAAATATTTTGGCAGTATGTTTTCTTTTTCATTATTAAAAGATCATCCACCTTGTTACTATGAGGTTTGACTCCAAATTAAGTGTGTTTCTTTAATTCTTCCATTGACTCCTTTCTCTTGATTGCTGGGTGGTCCTGTCCAGCTGCTTTGGTGGCTTGTGGGGTATTTTTTCATAATTTGTAAAACAGTGGCTCTAATGCCTGACTCAGTTGTAGACATTAAAAAAAAAACAAAAACGGTTTGGTCCACTACAACTGTGGTTATGCTAGATAGTTATAGCAAAATGATAACTGTGCGATTTTAAAAAATAAATGGTTTAAATGTTTTGCTTTCTTCCATTTTCATTCACAATTCATGAGAAAATTGACTGCCAGAATTAGATGTAAGAATTTGTGCATTTTGGAAGAAAGTATTTTATAGTAAATACCATATTTAGCAATGTAATTTATATATATTATGCTTTTATTTAAAATCTTTAAAGACTCTTTCTGTCCTTAAATTCTATGATTCCTTAAAAAGTCACTGAGAACAATTAAGAGACTAAGCATTACAAGTGAGGCTGAAATTTTCCAATGTTCTAACTTCTAACTTAAATGAATAGAGTGTATCTTTAGTAATTACCTTTACCCTTTTGCACCTTGGAAAATCCTATACTTAGCAACTCTAGAGATAATGGTTCCAATTGTGCAACAGAATAAGCAATGAGCTGAGGTCATTCATCGACCTTTGCACTGAATCACATCAGCTTTCTTTTGTTCCTGTGTTAGGTATGTCTTCTATCTCCTGAGAGACGGCATTTATAGAGCAGATCTTCCTGTGCCGTCTGGTCGGGAGGCTCAAGCTATGCGTATTGTGGAGAGTTGCACATTAAAGGACTTCGCAGTGAAGCCACAGTCCAAGAGAATCATTTACTTCAACGACACCGCCCAAGTCTTCATGTCAACATTTCTGGATGGCTCTGCTTCCCATCTTGTCCTACCTCATGTCCCCTTTGCTAATGTGAAGAGCTTTACTTGTGAAAACAATGACTTCCTTGTCACAGATGGCAAGGCTGTTTTCCAACAGGATGCTTTGTCTTTTAATGAGTTCATCGTGGGATGTGACCTGAGTCATATAGAAGAATTTGGATTTGGTAACTTAGTCATTTTTGGCTTATCCACCCAGCTCCACCCTCTGCCCGGCTGCCCGCAGGAGCTCTCAGTGCTCTTTGGCTCTCACCAGGCCCTTGTTCAGTGGAAGCCTCCTGCCCTCGCCATAGGAGCCAGTGAGTGCGCTATCCCCAGGGTGGTTACTGGCTTTTCTGCTGGAAGGACAGGAAAGCTTGAGCTACTTGGCTTTGTGATTTAATTTTGAGAGCCCTATGTGGTTACTCAGTCATCAACCAGAAGCAGCTACTTAGCTAAAAAAATGTGTTTATACACTTGTTCTGCATTATTAGTTTTGCATTAGGAGAATGTCTGTACCTTCCACATATATCCCAACAGAATAGTTAGAACATTTGTTGAGTGTCTACTAGGAACTAGGCATTGACATTCTAGTCAGAGTGAATAGTTAGGGAAATAGAATATTTGGGTTGAGATACTTGTATCCATCGAGATCTTGCATGAATTTGAGCAATACCCTATAATCCTCTGTGCTTAACTCTCCAACTCCGGAGAGGCAGTTTGTGTGGTGAGTAAGCAGGTGGACTCTGCAGTCAGCCGTCATGGAGCCAGATGCTGGTCTTGCCACTTATTAACAGAGTAACCTTGGACAAGTTACTTAACCACTCCTTGCCTCAGTTTCCGCAACTGGAAATGGGAATATTAATTATATCTTTTCATGGGATTGTCATGCAGATGAAATCAAGATACATAAGCAGCACACTCAGAACAGTGTCTAGCCCAGAGGTCAGCAAACTTTTTCTGTAAAAGAAGGGCCAGATAGTAAATATTTTCAGCTTTGTGGGTCAGCTGGCCTGTGTCACAGCTACTCAACTCTGCCTTGGTATCGTGAAAACAGCCCTAGATGATATGTAAATGAATAAATGTGGCTATGTTCCAGTACAACTTTACTTACAAAAACAGTGGGCCAGATTTGGCTTGTGGGTCGTAGTTTGCCAACGTCACTTCCCTAGGTAACAGTAAATATTTAATAAACATTGGCTATTTTTTCTTTACGACAAAATTAATTATGTCTGTTTGCTGCATACCTCAAAGATGGCTAAAAATGAACAGGCAATTTTTGTTAATTGATTGGGCTTTTTGGAGGGAGGTACTATACAAACACTGGGAATTATTTTAGAGATTCATCATTAAGCATTTTTTATTAAGAGCCTGAGTATACCTGTTAGTGTTGTAGAGAACCCTTCTGAAAACTGTGCAGCCAAGCATACATCTTTGACTACAGAGCAGTCCAAAAAACAAAACAAACAAATAAAAGGAGCAGTCCTATTTGCTGGGCATGATGTCTCCTTCAATGGAGCAGAATGACCTGCATGGAAGGAATGGACACTGTCCCAGCCTTATTGATAAACCAACCCTGGTGATTAGTGGGGTGATGGTCCTACTGCCCAATTACTCTCCCATTTGAAATGAAGCTGTAAATGAACTTACTGATAATCCTTGGTTAGCCCGTGTGGATGTCCTCCTGGTCAGTGATATTGTTGAACTCTTCTAATTAGGCCCCTCTGCCTGGCAGAACTGGACATATGAGGTGAAAGTATCAACCCAAGACCTTCCTGAAATCAGCCATGTTTTCTCTAACATAAGTGGGACCACGCTTAATGTACCTGAGCTGCAGAGTGCTACGAAATACAAGGTTTCTGTGAGAGCAAGTTCTCCTAAGGGGCCAGGCCCGTGGTCAGAGCCCTCGGTGGGTACTACTCTGGTGCCAGGTGAGAAAATGTTCTGGATTCAGGGAGTGATTCTGACAAAAAGAGGCTTAGCCCAAGTGTCCTTTAAAATCCCTTGCCTTAAATGTGGTAATGAGAATGAGAGTATGTTGCCCTCTCGAGTATGTGTTTATTGTCTGAGATTAGGAAAGCAAATAAAACACTGTGTGATATTTAATTAATGTTTCTAACCTGGTATTTTAAACTTTCCAAGATATTTTTGAGGAAATACCGTCATTTTCTTCTTCTTCATGGGTTTCTTCTTTCTCATGGCTTATTAAGCATATTACACTGCCAAACTCTGAAGGTCTTGCTGAGAGAAGTTGAGGGCTGTGAATTATGCTGAATTCTGTCCTCTTGGCTGAAGGCCAAGGGAAGGATAACTGCACCATTTACACTACTATTGTTCTCACAGTTGCTTCCGGGTGCTCTGAATGGGACCATGACAAACAGTAGCCAAAGCCAAAAACAAAAACCAAAAACCAAAACAAACCAACCCAAAACTCCCAAATTCTGCCATGACCATGCACTATTATAAAGGCAACATCCCCATATAGTTCTCTTCACATTCAATTTCAAATATTTATGTAAAAATCAGAAAGTATGTTTATTATGATAGATCATTCTATTAAGCAGATAACAATTACTCGTATCCTTCTACAGTATTTTTCAAAATGCAGATGTTCTTTTACTTTATAAAGAAAATCTTAGAGTATAAGATAAGTACCTAAAAAAGTATGCCTTCTGTGATATTTCTTTTCATTTCTTTTTTACCAAACAGCTACTGAACCACCATTTATTATGGCTGTGAAAGAAGATGGGCTTTGGAGTAAACCATTAAATAGCTTTGGCCCGGGAGAGTTCTTATCCTCTGATATAGGAAATGTGTCAGGTAAACACCAAGCCTTTTCTTCACTTGGATGACAGGTTTCCACTCTTAAGACTTCCCATGACATTCAACAAATCAAAAGAATTGAATGTTTTGGTATTAGGTCAATAATGAAAGGGAAAAATATTAACTGAACTATACTGCCAGTGATACTGTGAAGAAAAGGTCAGTTCTCAAGTATGAATTTTATTAATTCATAAAATGTGAGATTATTTATTGATTTACATCCACTTCGGGAAGGCTCTGATACAGTGCTCCTGTGTTAATCTGTCAAAGTTGTCTTGCAGTCATAGCCTATCTTGTTCCACTAAAACAATTATAATAAAGTAATTTACTAGGAGTTTTCATAAGACTGGAGCAAGACACTGCTGTATAGAGTTCTAAATAATGTGTAAGAAAGAATTTGTTGACAAAGGCGATTATTAAGTAATAAATGGGTAATGTTGCCTATAAGGCATTAGAAGGAAGAAAAGTCTTTATTCTAGGGTCGTGTAACAGTGATCTTGCCTGAAGATGACACATTCTATAATTCTCTAATTATATTATCTATTTTCTTGGCCATTAAAGTATGACAGCATTTCTGACCAACATAGGAGCTGGCCTTAGGAGGTAGTATAGTACTAATGGAAAGGATGCTCCTTTGGAGTTGGCTTGAACCTAGTTCCCCCTCTTTTCATCTGTGAGGTCTTGGAAGAATAGGTAATCTCACCTTGTCTTAGATTTGCCTCTCAAAAATGGGGATGATTCCTGCTTCACAACTTTGTTTCAGCAACTAGGTGAGATATGTAAAGTGCCTGGGACAATGTTTGGCAAAGGGGAGATGTTCAATGTATATTAATTCCTCTCTCCTGTTCCAGGGGTTAAGATTTTGGGGTAATATTATTGAAATATTCTTGAAAGATCCTTGAAATTCTAGTGAATGTCTAGGTCAGTATATGCTTTAAAATTATATTGAAGTGCATATGTGATTTGTTGACTCATCATGGTTTTGTTGGCATATGTGAAAAATAACTGCTAATGATTTACTTTGTTTTGAGACATGGATTGGTACAACAACAGCCTCTACTACAGCGACATGAAAGGTGACATTTATGTGTGGCTGCTGAATGGGACGGATATCTCAGAGAATTATCACATACCCAACATTGCAGGAGCAGGAGCTTTAGCTTTTGAGTGGCTGGGTCACTTTCTCTACTGGGCTGGAAAGACATATGTGGTGAGTTGAAGCCTGGCATTCTGGGTGTTCTAGAAAAATGCCTGCCCACTTCAGTGACTTGCATACATTTTCATGATTTTTTTCATACTCACATATCACCTATGCTATTATTTATTTAATATTTGTCTTTAAACCTGCTCACTTTTAAAATGTGTCTATGTGTAAATGAAATTTGGTATCATTGTTGGTTGTACCAGTTATACATTTTCAATATTTTAAATACATTCAAATGCTCCTCTGAGGGTCGGTGTCTTGGCAGGAACACGGAGCACTCCAAAGATACGATTCAAGGAGACTACATGAAGTGACTATTTTCAAAGGTGTGGACAGGGCTGGGGAAAATGAACAAGGGATGGTGAAGCATCACCAGGGTTAGCAAGCATGGGAGGATATAACTCCAGGTGTGAAAAGGCAAGAGGAAGAAGCGGGGGAACCTGGTGAGGGCCACAGCTGTAAGGGGGCTGCTGACATGAACCGTTACTCTCTGTGTGGAAGCTCAGCCACTATCAAGATGCGTGATCTGGCAAGAAGTGAGCTAAGGGAATAAGTCTACCAACTCCTCTTTCCTCCTTCCTTCTGATCTTCTGCCAGTGATTCCCTTGGCTGAGCCTCACCAGAAGCCAGAGAACATGGCAGCCCAACTGATACAGTCTGTAGATATCAGCCTCTGGGGGAACAAGTAGGGTGGAGAGGGTGGAAGGTAGACTTTGAGGAAAAATGAAGACATCCAGCACACCTGTGTGGTGGTACACTTTGAAGAGAAGGGTGGTGGTTAATGATGAGAATACTGGCCTGACAGATCAAGAAATATGGTACTAAAATCATTTTCTAATCAGAAGGGTGTTTGTTGTCCAATTGTTCAACAATCATTTATCTACTATCAACATGTTGAAAGCCTTGAGAGTGGGCATAGTAGGGAATATAAAGTAAATAGTAGACATAACTCTGCTCTTTTTTAAAAATAACAGCTTTGTTGAGATATAACTCATATACCATAAAATTCATTCTTTTATTATTTAGAATTTAGGGTTTTTCAGTATTTTCAGTGTTGTGCAGACATCATCACTTGTCCCTGCTCATTTGATGAGATAAAATACATATAAAAAATAATAAAAGAAGCATATGAGGCAATATATTAGAGGCAAAGCAATATGGTATAGTCTGAATCCATTAAGTGCCAACGATGTGCAAGCAGAATGGAGTTGAGTGGGGTTAACCAGAGAATGCTCTCTAAATAGGTTAGTTAAAAATAGTTTTGAAAAAGGAAATGGCAAGTGGATATAAAAAATGGTGTCAAGAATTAATATTTGCTCTGTCTCTTATAAAACTGTTTAACTCCAGGACAAATTGTTTCCTTAACCCAGTTTACTTGTGAAAAAATAGGGAACAGAAATCCTGTATAGGCTTTATGTGAGGATTATAGGAGCTAATATTTTAAATATAAAAAAAATAGTGCCTGGCACATTATAGGTCCTCAATAATGAGGTAATTAATATTAGGGAGATATACTGATAGAGACGAGCAAGGAGAGATGTCATCATTTATAAGGATGCACACATTTTTTTCAGGAGTCCAATTGAATGTATTTTTATCCAGCAGTGTTTTGATGGTCTGGATGTATAATTAGGAATAGCAAGTATTTTAACTCAAAATGAATTCACTTCCCTTCTTTTTGGAGACATGAAAAGAGGTAAGCTCCATGAGGGCAGGTGCCGTGCCTGTTTGCTATTGTTTCCAAGGTTTAGCACACTACCCAGCACATAGTGCTAATAGCTATTAACATTTGTGGTTGAATGAATGAATGGATAAATGTAGCAATTTACTAGTACAATAAATCATTCTGGAATAACGATATCATTTGAAAATTGTTAACTGACCATACTATTATGTTTTGTAGATACAAAGGCAGTCTGTGTTGACAGGACACACAGACATTGTGACGCATGTGAAGCTGCTGGTGAATGACATGGTGGTGGATTCGGTTGGTGGATATCTCTACTGGACCACCCTCTACTCAGTTGAAAGCACCAGGCTAAATGGGGAAAGTTTCCTTATACTGCAGGCGCAGCCTTGGTTTTCTGGGAAAAAGGTAACAGATTAAAAATGAGAATTGATCATTTCATAACACTAAAATGGTGCTATTCTATAGTTATGATCATACTGTCTCTGCTTGTTGTGAGTAGTCAAGATAGAATCTTAAAGGAAATACTTTAAGGAAATAGTAAAATCTTGGTATAATAAAATTTCTCTAAGCCTTATTTGATTACATAAATTCAAATATATTAATACTATGGAGATTTTTGTAGTTTGCATTATTTTTTAATTTTTTTTTTTTTGAGACAGAATTTCACTCTGTTGTCTGGGCTAGAGTGCTGTGGCATCGGCCTAGCTCACAGAAACCTCAAGCTCCTGGGCTCAAGCAATCCTTCTGCCTCAGCCTCCTGAGTAGCTGGGACTACAGGCATGTGCCACCATGCCCGGCTAATTTTTTTGAGACAGAATTTCACTCTGTTGTCTGGGCTAGAGTGCTGTGGCATCGGCCTAGCTCACAGAAACCTCAAGCTCCTGGGCTCAAGCAATCCTTCTGCCTCAGCCTCCTGAGTAGCTGGGACTACAGGCATGTGCCACCATGCCCGGCTAATTTTTCCTATATATATTTTTAGTTGTCCGACTAATTATCTTCTATTTTTGGTAGAGATGGGATCTCACTCTTGTTCAGGCTGGTCTTGAACTCCTGACCTTGCGCGATCCTCCTGCCTCGGCCTCCCAGAGTACTAGGATTACAGGCGTGAGCCACCGCACCTGGCCCATAGTTTGCTTTATTTTGAGTGAACCCACACTTAAAAGCATTTTAATTTCTTGCTGTTTTTATGGTCTTAAGGACTTCTATTGAATATTTTAGAGCTTCATATTGGGTGGTGATTAGGTGTTTTATTATTTTCAGTCGGTTTTGGGTATTGACTATTCTAAAAACTGTATGACATCTAGGCAAATTATTGGATTTCTCTGTGTCTATTTCCTTATCTGAAAAGTGGGACTATTAACTATTATCCTACTTCTTAGACTTGTTATGAAGATTAAATGAGATAATTCATGCGAAGTAGTGGGAATAGTTCCAGGTACATGGTAAATGCTCAATAATAGTTCAGCTTTTATTGTTATAACTCAATCTGGAAAATACAGCTGATGTAGGAATGTTTCTAAAGCAAATGTTACTTTTAGTTCCTCAACTTCTAGAAGCAATATCTACTTTTTCTTAAACCTGTTTAGCTACCCACTAGGTATCCATCTACATTTCTGAATCTTATTTTTTTTATTATAATAGTAATATATGTCCACTGTAGAAAACTTAGAAATTACAAAAAAG